TTTCTACAGTCAATTCAACAAGCACAGAGATCTGTCAGTTGCTCCAGCCCCACGAGTTGCGTTTTCTGTCAACAATCTCCGCCTTATTCGACGCGGCTCCACTGAGCTGAATCCGTGTCTTTTTGTCATCGCTGGTAAGGTAACTATGTCAGATTCGAATTGAGCGACGCAGCCAGTAAATTTTGACTAAGGTCTAGTGGTGTCCAGCACTTGCAAAGATGAACGGCCACCTTGTAATCTGAAGTCTAAACAATCGGGATCTCATTTCTTGCTAGGCTTGCTTCAAAAATCTATATCAATGCTATGGCGACAGTTGCTGATCACGATGCCGAGTGTCGGTCACGTGCACTCACGTGTGATTGGCCGTCGCTTGTTCTATTTCCATCTGACCTCGCCTGCACCCTACGATCACCCACGCAGAGTGGAGAGTCGTGCCGACCGACGAAGCGGTGCAGAGATGGACGGGTCTCGCGGTAGGTGGGCCCCTGCTAGTCTGGCTGAGCGACGGGGCCCACCAGCGGGAGACGATTCGCTTGCCGTGTGGACGGAATGTGTCTCGGCATCCGACGAGGGGATTGGTAAAGGGCGAATCAAGGCGTCTAGGGCTCTGTCGTTTCGACTGCAGTCATCAGTATCCTGGTCGTCGCAGAAACAAGTTCATTCACACTTACCACACACAGCATGACGTGCCAGATCCTGTATCTCGCCTATCCAACCACTCTTCCGCGCAGGATAGATGAGAGAGCGCTCGGCACTGTTGGCAACGCAAGATCACGCACTCATTTGCATGGTCTTCATCCTCGGTCAGGCAGAACACACAGTGGATGCTGTCGACCTCTTCACTCGGGGTGAGACTCTGGAGCGTCAATTCTTGGAAACCAGCCCAGATATTAGCGACCGACGCCAGAATAGCCGGTTGGGCCGGCGAAACGCGCCATGGAACACTGTTCGTCCGCAGCATTGTGGAGGTCACAAATGGATTGAATGGCTGCACTGGCTCGGGGTTGGTTGACAGGCGCACCGGCGGGTCTTGTCTGAGCCCGTGAGGTGACCGGTCAGTGTTGTCAGATGCTGCAGGGCGTCGCCTGGAGGCTGAAGATGTCTGACGCTGGCCCGGATGTACAATGACTGATGAGGAGGCCATTCTGGAGCCATGTGGTACTCGCGCCTGGTTGCGGACGGCTGCTTCATACCACTGCTGGCCAACTTGGTCGGCCTGCCGTTGCCGGTGCCATCTCGTGCAGAGGAAGTCTCTGGCGACATCACAGAGCTTCGACTGCAACGGTGACAAGTCAAACGGCTCTCTGGCGAGAGTGGTCGACTTTTGATGGCCTATCTTGGTGTCTTCAACTTTGATCGAGTTCTTGCATGGCTCGCCTTTTTTCGTCATGCCGCAACAGGAGCCAGGACCACTGTGAGGGATCCCGCAGACAGAAAATGGGTTCCAAGGCATGGTAGTCATTGATGTGGTCGTGATGTGGTCGTCAAAGGCAGAAAATGCTTTGGATTGTTGGTGGTGTTGGACAATCTCTGCGGCGTTCCTCGCCAGCTTTATATGCCATCGCCGTAGGCTCCTTACCTACATAGCTGCGTGGATGCTGGCATGCAACGCCTTCCTTGAAACAGTCGATACGTCGAGGAATGCATTCGCACGCAGTATGCGCCGGTATACGGCTGATCAGTAGCCTGTGAGAAGGGATATCATTCCAGATCACTGCTACCCTAATCAGCTGCACTTGTGGCTGTAGACCGCGGTGACCATGCATTGGCGAACAGATTGGCTACTGCGGTAGGCAGCGAAGTCGACAAATGCTGCGTTAAATTCTGCGTTGCCTATTGAATTTCGAAGTGCGTGATAGGCTGTGATTTATTCTTATGGCGCTAGATGCAAGATGTGGGTACGCAGAGATAGATTCGGTTCCCGGGCCATCGACACACTACCAGGAACTGATTTGGCGTTCCCAGGAGCTAGACTTCAGAGATTCTCCAACTCCGCCTTAACATGGTTGTCAAGGCTTTGATGCTGCCGTGTGATTGCTACGCACCTCTCAGCGGTGTGACAGACTACACTTCTAGCTGACCACGGAATTTGGCTGAGGCGAGTATATAAAGGCCTCCCATATCCTACTTTCACAACTCTCACCTCACCCCTATCTACATTTCGTTTGCTCCATCCGCTGTCCAAACATGGTCTGTTTCAATTCGTTCTTACTGAGTTTACCGATGAGCTAATACATTACAGCCAAACATCAGAGAGCTGCCCAACGAGCTTTTGCTGTGGTTGTGTCGTATTTGGACGGTAGTGCATTATTTGCCCTCGCAAAATCATGCAAAAACTTTGATTTTAAACTGCAGCCCAGCATCTGGAAATACAACATTTCAGAACAGCAATCTATTGCACTTGGCCGTCAAATACGACAACGTTGGTCTTGCGGAGGCTTTGCTCCAGCACAACGCCAACATCAATGCATTTTACCGCGGCAAATCTCCTTTAATGAGGGCGCTCAAATACTCGTCCGCTGCTGTGCGTGACCTCTTGCTCAGTCGTGAAGATCTAGATATCAATATTCAAAATCAAGCGCGGGAGAGCGCCCTGTGGTATGCCATCCACTACGGAACCTTTTCCACCGTCAAGCGCGTTCTAGAACAACCCAACGTCCAGGTGGACGTCAAGCACAAACATGGCCGAACGGCGCTCCACCTAGCAGTCTTCGCAGGCCGAATAGGGCTCGTGCATCTGCTACTTTCTAGTGGCAGCGACCCTGATCTACAGGATGATTCGTGCCACTCGCCATGGGACAGGGCACGTCGCTTCAATAGACCCGCGATGGAAATGATCTTTTCAAACTATCCGATGGCCGAAGTATTTCTTGGTACTCAATCATCACAGGAGGCTGAGCTGCCTCTTCACCAAGCAGTATCCTATGGGTCGGTAGACGCT